TACTGCAATAAGGGCAGAAAACCTTTCCTAAGGGCATCTCGCAGGCAGCCCAACGGAGCTGTAACCGCAGCCATTAACCAGGGAGGGGAGAAAAACAACCCAAGCACAACAAAAAGGAGCTGCTCCGAGGCTGCAAAGCTTGGAGTCGGTGCTGGGCATCCCCGCGGCCGCGCTACCGGTGCGGCATCCCCCGTGCGCGCACCGTCCCCTTGCTCCGGTGAGGGGGCATCAGGCCGGAGGAGGGCACGGCGGGGCCGGCAGGCTCCCTGCCCACCGCCAGCCCCGGCCTTACCCGGGAAAGCCGCTCGGGAGCGGCACCGGAGCCAGCGGGACCCGGCGCGGAGCGCAACGGGAGCCAGCGGCTGCTCCGCCCCCGGGCAGCCGCGCACGGAGCCCGGCCGAGGGCACCGCACAAAGGAGCGGGAGCTGGGGCCCTGCTCCGGCGGCCGGGACCGACCCATCCCGGAGAGGAACAACAACAACAACGGGACAAGAACGGCGGCAGCGGCGCCGGGAGAGCGGGGGCTCGGCGGCAGCGCTCCCTCGGCCATCTTGCGGGGATCCCACGCTCCCGGCTGCTCCCAGCCGGAGCCGCTGCCCCTCGGAGCGCTCCTGGCACCGGCTCAAGGACCCGGCAGCGCCTTTCGCAACCGGCCCGCAGGTACAGCGGGGGCTGGGGCAGGACGGGGGAACCGGGAAGCGATTCCGCCCTGCGAGGGTGCTGAGGCGCTGGCACAGGGTGCCCAGGGAAGCTGTGGCTGCCCCATCCCTGGCAGTGTTCAAGGCCAGGTTGGACACAGGGGCTTGGAGCAAGCTGCTCTAGTGGAAGGGGTCCCTGCCTGTGGGAGCAGGGGTTGGAGCTGGAGGAGCTTTAATGCCCCTTCCAACCCAAACCAGGGTCCTACCCGCGGTGGGACGCGGGAGGTGCTCTCCGCCCTGCAGGTGCACAGCAGCGCGCACACGGCTGCAAACCCCGGGTGCAAGGGACACGAGGAGCCGAAGGTGCCGCCGCGGGGCGGGGGATGCAGAGCCCGGTGGCAGGGGCGCTGCGGGGTGCTCGGTGCCCTCCGCCCCGCGCATCTTCCCCCCCCAACCCGCTCCCGCACACTCACCCATGGCGCTGAGGCAGTGGCTGAGCGCCTGGCAGGGGGGGCTCGGGGTCTGCGTGGCCTTGTCGCAGCTGAGGGGCGCGGGGCTGCGCTCGGCGTCGAACGAGAAGTACCCGCTGGAGGAGCGCGACAGCAGCGGCGACCTCCGCACGAAGATGAACAGCGGCGACCGAGTGGCGAAGGGCCCGGGGCTGGCGGGGGGACCCCGCTGCGGCGGAGGCCCCGCGGTGGCGGAGCCCGGCAGGGCTGCGGGAGCGCCGGGGCGCAGCTGCGCGGCCGGGCCCGGGCCCTCCCCGCCGTCGCCGTCGCGTTGCGCCTTCACCTCGGGGGGCTGCTTGGCCATGGGGGCTGCCTGCGGGGGGAGCGCGGCGCCGTGAGGCGGCGGCACCGGCAGCGCCTGCCCCTGCCCCGGCGCGGCCCCTCCCGCCCGGCCCCATTGTTCTGCCGAAAGTGCTGAGCCGGCAGCTCCGCTCCGCGCCGCCCCCCGCCCGCCGGCCCGCCCGCACCCCCCCCGCTCACCCGCCCCGTCCCGTCCCGTCCCGTCCCCTCGCCCCGCTCACGGTGTCCCCGCCGGCTGCAGGCGCCCGAGCCCCGGCTGGCGGCGGTGAGCGCGGACCCGACCCTGCCGCGCACCCCGCTCCGCGCCCTGCACCGCCCCGTGTTTACAGCGCGGCCGCGCTCCGCCCCGGCAGCTCCGCACCGCCCCCGGCCCGCCCCGGCCGCCAGCACCGGACCTGACCCCCCCCCGCGCAGCCGCCGTGCGCTGGGCACCGACGGGCGCCACCCCCGGACCCCGCTCGGCCGCGCTCCGCCGGGCACCCGCACCCTGCCCCGGACCCCGCCTGTGCGCAGCGCCCGCAGCCCTGCACCGCACCCCGCTGCTCACCCCCGGGCTCCAGGCCCTGCACCAGCTCCGCTGCCCTTCTCTGTCCCCGCTCCAGCCCCTCAATGTCTCTCTCGCAGTGAGGGCTCCAGAACTGAACACAGGATTCGAGGTGCAGCCTCACCAGTGCCCAGCACAGGGGCACAATCCCTGCCCTGGCCCTGCTGCCGCACTGGTGCTGATCCAGGCCAGGATGCTGGGGGCTTCCTGGCTGCCTGGGCACGAGCTGCTCGTGTTCAGCTCCATCACTCAGCACCCCCAGCTCCTGTTCGTGAGCAGCTTTCAGCCACCGATTCCACTGGTGGCTCTGGAGCTGGGGCGCGGGGACCCCCCCATCCCACCAGCACCCCTTCTCCCAGTGGTACCCAGCACTTCACCATCCCCAGAGCCACAGGACTCTGCTCCCTAGGCAGCACCTCACCCATCAGCACCTCTCCCCAGCCACTGCGCCCATGGTGGTGCACGTGTGAAGCCTGAGGGTGATGCTGGTGTCTTCAACACCCACCCCAGTGGGAGCCAGCCAGCACCCCTGCTGTCCAACACTTGCTAGCTCCGGTGCCGCTCACTCTTCCTCCCCTGGGAGGGAGGGGATTGTCCATAGCCGATGTCCATGTCCGTGGCCTGTTTAGCAATAAAGCAGAACCTTTGTCACCTTGAAACCAGACCTGGGGCAACCGCTTGTGCTGTCTGTGCACTTGTCCTGCGTGTAAATCTGCATCCTGCTCTGCCAAGATACCTCTGATTCACCGCGCGATGCCAACAGGAGGGTCAGTGAGCAACCTGCACCAAGGGAAGGTGAACCTGCCCGCGGCAGGGGCTGGAGCTCGAGGGGCTTTAAGGTCCCTTCAACCCCTCCATGATTCCAGACATGAAAACAAGCGCTGGTGACACCCCAAGGAGCCCCACCGGAGCCTGGCTCGTGCCAAGCTGTGCTGGCAGAGATCCGGGCGAGCAGCGGCGGTGCTGGGGACATCTTGTCCCCCAGCTGCCACGGACAGGGTGTGCCTTTATCAGCCCCGCTGCCAGCACCGATGGGCTGCAGGGCTGGTCCTGCTGCAAACCATGGGGCAAACATCTCCGTTCCCCTGGCCTTAGGAGGCGGCAAGGGTGAAACCCCCGTGGTCAGCCCCCAAACCAGCCCCACCCGTGGGTGATGTGTAAGGTCCCAGGCTGGTCCAATGCACTGATTACGCTAAGCAGCTGCCCCAGCTCCAGTGGCTCTGCTCCCATCCCATCACAGCATTCCAATGGGACGGGAAGGAAAATCACAGAATCAACCAGGTTGGAAAAGCCCTTCAAGGTCATCCAGTCCAACCGGTCCCCAGCACTGCCAAGGCCACCACTAACCCATGGCACTGAGGCCTCATCTCCATGGGGTGTCAACCCTTGCAGGGACGGTGACTGCAGCCCTGCCCTGGGCAGCCTGTTCCAATGCCTGAGCACCCTCTGGGGCAGGAATTGTTGCTCAGCTCCATCTAAACCTGCCCTGGTGCAGCTTGAGGCCGTTTCCTCTTGTCCCATCCCTTGTTCCTTGGGAGCAGAGCCCAGCCCCTCCTGGCTCCATCCTCCTGTCAGGCACTTGTAGGGAGCCATCAGGTCCCCCCTGGGCCTTCTCTTCTCCACACTGAACCCCCCAGGTCCCTCAGCCCTTCCCCATCACCCCTGTGCTCCAGGCCCTGCACCAGCTCCGCTGCCCTTCTCTGGCCCCGCTCCAGCAATAAGGGCCTGGGGGTGTCTGTGAGGGGGAAAATAATTGGGAAATTCATTAGGAAAACTCACTGGGGAAGAATGTGAGGGCCGTGACTGCAGCAGGGAGCGGCTGCGGGGTCCCTCCTGCCCGCAGCGCTGTCCCCGCTGCGCAGGCTGACGCTGCCTCTGCTTTCCCTTCCCGGTTCCTCCTGGTCCCTGTGCAGGGGCTCCCAGGAGCAGGAAGGTGCTGGGGGAGCTCCTTGGAGCACCCTGCCCTGCAGCCCCCTCCCGTGAGCCGCAGCCGCAGCCCTGCGCGGGCCCAGCCGTGGCTGTGACCTCCCGGGGCTCAGCCCTGGTGCTCCCCCGTGAGTCACAGCCCAGCCTCCTGGAACAAATCTCTTTCGACTTTGGCCTCGTCCCTGTTGCCGTGCCCCAGCGCGGAGGCATCTGCGCCCCAACCGCGGCCCAAAGGTCAGCTCCTTCCTGGTGCCACGCTCGGAGGGACGGAGATGGAGCGTGCGGCTCCTCCTCGCGCCGCCGCCTGGATCCCTGGAGCATCCGCACCCCGAGCCCCTCGGGAACGCCGCGATGGAGGCGCCACATCCCAGCCCTCATCCTGCTGCGCTAATGGCCAATTAAGCAAAGCTCCCCCTGGACCTGCCGGCACCCGTGTCACTGAGGTGGCACCAGCAGTAGGGCGCTTGCCTGCCTCCAGATGGAAATGAGGAGGGAGCACTTAGAGGGGAGGTGCAGAGGGGTGAATGATGAGGAGGGGGAGGATCCCGTACCACTGCAGCATCCTGGTCCCCATCTCCCACCCAGCCCTCCCTCTGCGCTATCCCACATCGGGAAGCGTGCAGGGATGAGGGATGGAGGAAAGGGAATGATGCCTGCTTGAAGGGGAAGCACTTGCCCATCACAGCCCCAGCGAGCTGAAAACCCCCATGGGGAAAAACTATGCCAAAATCAACCCCCCCAGGAGCAGTTGCTCATCAAACCCAGCTTTAACTACAGCAATGCAAAGCAATGACTTCTCCAGCGCGTTGTGATGAACGTTGTTCGCTCAGCGCTGCAGATAAGATCAAGTTTAAGCTGCGTGCCCACAAGACAAAGCTTTATCTAAGCTGGGGTTGGAGCCTGACCTTTACTGTGGTGCGTTCTGAGCGCTGCTAGCATCCAGCCCTGGGAACACGGGAGCAGCCACAGCACCCGAGAGGGGTGGCCGGGAAGGAGAGAAAGGGAGGAGAGAAGGATTTCCTGGCTGGGATGGAGGAAGCGCTGCAGGGCTCGGTGGAGCAGGACAAGCAGCGGCACATGTGGGGCACAGCCATGGGGAGAGCAGCCGTGGGATGGCATTGACCTGCACCGGGCTCAGCACCTGCGGCTGACACCATCAGCACTGAGAGACACCAAACCCTGTGCCCCAAGCTGCTCTCCCACACAGGGGTGAGCCAGCGCCTCAGCACCCTCACAGGGAAGAGCTTCTGCCTAAGAGCTCAGCTCAGTCTCCCCTGGGGCAGGTTCAAGCCATTCCCCTTGGCCTGTCCCTCCATCCCTTGTCCCAAGCCCCTCTCCAGCTTTCCTGCAGCCCCTTCAGGCACTGGAGCTGCTCTCAGGTCTCCCCTTCAGGAGCCTTCTCTTCTCCAGGCTGCCCCAGCCCAGCTCTCTCAGCCTGGCTCCAGAGCAGAGCTGCTCCAGCCCTCGCAGCAGCTCCATGGCCTCCTCTGGCCCTGCTCCAACAGCTCCACATCCCTCTTGTGCTGCTGCCCCAGAGCTGGATCAGGGCTGCAAGAGGGGTTCTCCCCAGAGCACAGCAGAGGGGCAGGATCCCCTCCCTGAGCTGCTGCTCACGCTCTGGGGGTGCAGCCCAGCACATGGGGGGGGGGGGGGGGGTGTGGTGTGGTGTGTCTGTGCTCAAGTGCTCACTGAAGCAGGGTCATGGGGAGCTTCTCCTCACCCAACACCCCAAGTCCTTTCCCTCAGGACTGCTCCATCCACTCTCCATCAGCCTGTGTTTGTGCTGGGGATGGCTCCAACCCAGGACCTTGCCGAGTTCCCTGAGGCTCGCACTGTCCCACCTCTCCAGGTCCCTCTGGATCCCATCCCTTCCCTCTGGCCTGCATTCCCCCATCCACAGCGGGGACGGGCCAAGGGACAGCCCCTCAGCAGCACGAACCTCCTCTGGAGGCAGGGGTGGCTGAGAACAGCCCTGTCGTGACCTGAGTGGTCCCTGGGCTGGAACATGCCCAGGGCAGTGTCACTGTGATCACTGATGGCCTAAGTGAGTTTGTTACAGGGACAATGGGCACTTCAGACTGGATGAAGGTAGTCCTTGCTCCTACGACGCCATGGGTGACGTTAGTGCCTCACCTGTAGGGAACCAGGACCGCTGCTTCATTAGGGTGCATCTGATGAACGAGGGAGGTACCTACAACTGTTAATAAATATAATTTGGGGTTATTAACACCTTAAAAATTGAAATTGAGGAATTTTGCCTGACTTTAGGGTGATGTTGGCCCCCCACGAGGTACTCGGCAATGGGTTGCTACCAACAAGCAATGGAGAACCCGGGCCAGAGCAAGCCCCAGACCCCGGCTGGGGGCCCTGGGTTGCCACTGAGGCCCAAGGTGATGGCAGAGGATGAAAAGTGCCTGAACTTGGGTTTTCTGCAGAAGAAAAGGCCACCCACGGCAGGAAACCTCTGCTCCCGTGTGGGTGGTGGAGGCCCCGAGATGAGTTATCTCTAAAGGGCAACACTGGGGATACCTGGAGATCTTCATCAGTGAGCCGGGGAAGAGAGCTCAGCATCCCCAGTGGGGGTTTGGGCTCCTGGGGCCAGGGGTGTTGTCACAGCTCTTATTTTAGCAGCTTATTTTCAGCTCAGGTAGAAAACAGGAGCCTCCACCCCACCCAGGGCAGCTCTGCATGGAGCTGCTCCCATGGCTGTCATGCGTTATCCCTCCTCCTTCGCCGTGGGATGTTCATGTGAGGGGATGGCAGGAGGAGGTGCCTAGCATAGGGGAGTTCTTTAAGGGTGTTTAATAGAGGATAACAGGGTATGGGCAGCCTGAACCTGACCCTGGGCTGGGGTGGGCAGGCAGGGCCAGGTTGGGCAGAGCCTTGGGTGACATGATAGCAGGGGGTTGGAAGTGGAGGATGTTAAGGTGCTTTCCAACCCAAACCATTCTATGATTCATCCATCGCCACCAGCTACCCCATCTCAGGCCTCTGCTCCTTGCTGGAGCACAGCTATAATGAGCAGCCTTGGTGCCTTATCATAGAACCTCAGCCTGGTTTGTGTTGGAAGGGAGCTTAAAGCTCCTCCAGCTCCAACCCCTGCCACGGGCAGGGACCCCTTCCACTAGAGCAGCTTGCTCCAAGCCCCTGTGTCCAACCTGGCCTTGAACACTGCCAGGGATGGGGCAGGCACAGCTTCTCTGGGCACCCTGTGCCAGCGCCTCAGCACCCTCACAGGGAAGAGCTTCTGCCTAAGAGCTCAGCTCAGCTCAGTCTCCCCTCGGGCAGGTTCAAGCCATTCCCCTTGGCCTGCCCCTCTCCAGGTTTCCTGTATCCCCTTAAGGCACTGGAAGGTTGCTCCAGGTCCCTGCTCTTTGCCACTGAGCCAGAGCAGCGCTAAGGGCAGGCAGGAGGGATGCACAACAACTTGTCTGCCACCTGCATCTAGACCAATGTGAAACTCCTACACCCACACAAGCTCCTTCTCCTCTTGCACAGGGGCTGACATTTAAGGTGTAGAGGCTCCTACCTGGTCCATCACGTTCTGAAGCTGCATTATGAGATGAAGAACTAAATATATAGCTATATTTACTATAGATATATATAAACTTAAGCCTAACAGAGATCTTTGCTTGGGCAAAGAAGAGCTGGCTGCAGCTCAGCTCCTAAGACCATGAAATGAAGGAATAAAAGGACATAAAGCAAACCCAGCACTGCCCGTTTCTATTAGCACCAGCTACAAGGAGGTTTCTGCAGCTGATCTGCCTCAAGGTGCAACTTGCTCCAGCTGCACCATGTCAGACCTCAAAAAGCTTTTCCATGTGTTATAGAAAGCTTAATAAGAGGCAAAACAGAATGGGTTAGAGGGTAAGAAGAGATTGACTTGCTGTAAAGGCAGGGAGAGGAGCTGCAGATGGAGGGGGATGGTCCCTGTTGATGGAAGGAGACGTCCCATGTTGCTGTGTGAGATGGAAAAGGTTTTCCCAAGGTGAGGAAGGAGCAGTGCCATGGGTGTCCTGAAACTGCAGGCAGGTGCATAGGCAGCTGCAGAGCCTTGGGATGCAGCAGTGAATTCTATGGGAAAGCATCAGTCCAGAGCATATTTGCTGCAGGAAGCACAGAGAGGCGAGACCAGGAAGAGCAGATAAACAGGGTAACAGGGAATCATCCTACGCAGTGCATCCCTGCTTGGGATGAACCCAGCATCCCTGACCTTCCCCTTGTCCCAGGCAGTGTCAGCTGCTCGGGGCTCAGCTCTGCTGTCCAACCACAGGATGGTTTCAAAGTTGGCAAACTGAAAAACACCCCTGAAATACAGCAAGAGGAGGGAGATGGAGGAAAATCTGTTGTTTGTCTCCCTCCTGTGGATGGATGCACAACTAAAGTGAAGGCCCTCACCCCACCCCGGGGCTCTGCTGATAAATCCCCTTTCCTATCCGTTTTGCAGGGTTATAAAGCAGGCCCTGCATGAAGGTGACTGTGAGCAGCATCGGGATAACCGCATCCCACAGGCTGCTAAATCCCCTGGAGCCCCTCGATGCACGTCACCGCGGAAGTGCTCTCCAGCTTCTCAATAGATCAAAAGTCTGCACATGGCTCTTATGTGGTTTGGGCACTTTAAAGGAATGCTTTCCTGGCATTTCCCCCATCTTCTGCCCCAGTAAAAGAAAACAAAGCCTCCTAACAACCAGAAACCAGCCAGTTCAGTTCCAGGAAGGAGAGACACTTGCCTCAGGGGTTTTTCCCCTCATCTCTGCTAATTGTGCTGTGGGTGGCCAGAAGCACTGCAACACAAGTGGCAAGTGTGGCTTCAGTCCTATCACGGGAGAACAGTGATTTCTTTCAACCTACAAGTCCCCGAGAGAAAGGGTAGAGCAGGAGGGCTGTGAAGGAAGGAGCCCAAACCTCAAAGACCAGCAGCAGCACTGAGCATCATTGCTCATCACAACTCAAACCAGCACTTCCTTGTATTCATCAATTACCTGCAGTGGCATTTTGGGGAGAAGAGACCTAACAGAAGACCTCTCCTTCCACCTAGAGGCCATGGGGTATTCTCTGATCAGTCATAGAAAGCCTCGAGCTCACGCTCTGGTAGCCCATCTCCTATGTGTTATTTCACTTCCCATTGCTGCCCTTGCTTCTCTCACAATTGATGCTCCGAGTCTTCCATGACGATAGAGGCACAGCTGGGAATTATATTCCCATTTCCAACAGCTCACTCCTCCCCAAAGGCTCCAGTCACCATTTTTCATGGTGGGAAAACGCATCCTCGAGACCTCACGTACACTTGCCGTGTCAAAGATGAGCCAGGACTGCATTTATCACCGTTAGCTGCATACAAGAGCTGGTCTAAACTTGGCCCTGTCCTTGCTTCCCGCTCAGAGCACTCTTCCCAAGGTCCCTTCACTATGAAGGATTCGATGCTCTTCCCTTTCCCTGCTCCAAAATCCCAGGGGAGGTTGAAAGCTGTTACTTCACCTGCACAATGCTGTTCATCAGCTCTTTTCCCCTTCAGAAACACCCAATATTATGGCAGCTACGGTCTCCCGCATGCCCACGGGTCAAGTTAAATGAACAAACAATTGTAGTGTCATTTTTCCCCCACAAAAGCATAGAGAGATGCAAGTTCTTACTCCTGAAGTTAAGCCTAAGAACATTTATTTCTAAACCAAGTCATCAGAAAACCTTTCACATCAATGAAACCAGATGCCAGTGACCGTGCAAACCAAGCGCTTACTTCCGTGACCGCTTGTGTTCTATGAGCAACACAACGAGCCTGTTCCGAAGGAACTTGATTTCCTTTGCATAGGACCTGCAGAATAAGTCCCTGAGCCTCCTGCGCAGGGCTCCCAGAGAAGGCAGGCTCTGGCAGTTGGGAATGTTGAGCATGCTCTCAAAGAACTCTTTCCACAGGTCAGCATTGGCAAGCCTGCAAAGGGACAAACATACATCAAGGAAACGCTGAAGTCAAGCTCTTACAAGGCTGTTTCCTGTATTTACCCAGCTCCCTCTCCAGTTACGGGCTGGAGCTACTGCAGATGTGGCTGTAACACAGCTGGGACATGCTGCTTAGTGAGCCTAAGGGATTTTTCCTCCTTGTTTCCTCCATCCAAGCAGCAAGTAGCTGAGGACACTGCAATTCACCGCTGAAACGCTTCCTGTGCTCGAGTCAGTGATTTTATGAGGCACTTCCCATACACCGAGCCCAAGTTTTAAGGCATCAAGAAGTGCACACAAGCAGCACTGAAAGCTGTGGCAGAAACTAAACCTCAAACCTGCTCCTACTGATGCAGGTCAGATAGATGACTTTGGACACCAACCTTCTGAAGGCTCCCTCAGGCTTCCAGACACCGTTTTCATTCTTCACTTGCATGTAGGTACCAAAGAGCATGCAGTAGACTGTTGCTGCAATACCAAAGTAGTCTGTCTAAACAAAGCATAAACAAGTTTCCTGTTAGAAATGTATTGAGACCACTAAAAACCAGCTGAAAAACACTCTGTGGAACCAACAAGGCAAGCTCTGTAAGAGGAGGCTTCAGGGTGGTGTTTTTAAAGCAACAAGCTGAAACTACAGCTCCAGTGCAAGAGTCTAACCTTTCTATATCCCATTTATTGACCCCAGACACACGCATCAGCTCCAAATGTTCAAGTTGTCTGTGCAGTCTCATACCTGGTAGTTCCATGGTCTCTGTGTCAGCATTTCAATACACTGAAATCCAGATGTTTCACACCTCGCAGTGAATGCTGTTCCCTCAGGAAAGAGTTTCATGTCTATACTCTGGCCCAAGTCAATGAGTGTCAAGCCGTGAGAGAGACCATCTATGTCACATGTGTCATTGTCCAGGAACCTTCAACCACAACAAGGAGCAGCAATCACGTAAGTGTCAAGGCTATGGCATCGTGATGTGATGGCATCTCAGGCAGCAAAAGGGAATACTTGCCTTTCCCCAAGTATGAAGTTGTCAGGTTTGATGTCACCGTGGATGATTTTGCAGCTGTGGAGCTCTTCCACCATATGAAGGATTTTTACAGCAAAGTAGATGACAAGTGCTTGTGGCATCACCTTCTCAGGAAGCTTCTTGTAAATGTTTATGGCATTCTGCAGTCAGAAAGATGGTGAAGAACCATCAGCTACACAGCAATAGCTCGATATGGATTACAGATCCATGCTGATAAACACACAATAGTCCATAAAGAAAGTCCATAAAGTGGAGAGTAGAAGAGACATATCAATACTGCCATATAACAGCACTCCAAAGAGAACTGAGGTGTTGCAGAGCAAAAGCCAATTACACTTACTAGCAATGTTCCATAGTTGTAGAGCTCACCAACCAAAATGCTCCCATTCTGGAAGAAGTGAGCAGAGTAGAAGTGGATGTAGAGATGGCGTATGCTTGGATCCAGCCTTTCCACCAGCTGTGTTGCTATGTAGAACTCCCAAGGGTTGGCAGGCTTCTGGACCTGTAACCAGAGAGTTGACTGACTTCAGCTTAATATACTCAATCTATCTGTATATTAATTGAGTATATACTCAATCTAAGTATATTGAGTATATAGGCAATTTATTAAATCTATGATTTAATATACTCAAACTAGGAGCATTAAAAGCTAAAGTTCTTCTTGGGTCGGGGTTTTTGGTGGTTTTCTAGTGGCACAGTGGGTATTTTCCCTCTAGACCAAATAAAACATTGCTGTCTACAGTAATCAACCTCAGGCTGATACACTCGGTGATTAAACCTCTTGAATCAAGGCTTCAGTTACACACCACAGTTCCATGCTGGCTTAGACACCCTTTTGTGCTGTTTAAAATGTCAGTGTTTCTGCAGCATTGATGTTTCTGCTGGCAACAGACATTTTGTACAAAAGAGAAGGCTTTTGAAGCTGAAACAGGAAAACCCTTCCGATTCCTTCCCCTAGTACTTCCCCTGCTACACTGAATACCTGCTGCTCAAAATAGAACACCAGCCTTAAGTCACCTTTAACTACTTGAAAGCTCTCAGTTCAAACTGTTAAGAGGTGAAAGAGTAAATGTTGCAGAGATCCACACAACGGTTCCAGATCTAAGATCTAAGGTGGAAATGCTAAAGGGGGGGAGCGCATGTGCGTGTCAACGCAACCACACAACCACACTGTAGTAACTGTACACGTGCCCTCTCAGCCAGCAGCAGATGTGGCTTGGCGTGACCTAGTGTAACCCTCATGGGCTGAGCTGACCTCGCAGTTGCACAGACTTTCCTCTTGGCAGCAGCTCTGATGTAAACACGTTATCATCTGTTGCTCATTCCTGCACCGAGCAGCCTGCGAGGAGACGGGGCAGAGCAGAGCGAGCTGCTCCATCTACAACACAAGCGTGTTTATTAATAACTGCACCAGGGAGGCATCACCCAAAGCCTGCCCCACAGCCAGCTGCCACCAGAGAGCTGGCTGCACACAGGGAAAGCTAGTGGCTATGCATGTGAAACAAAGAATGGCTCCAATTTTATCATCAGTCCACACAGATCTCCTTTTTCTGGGGACTGAGAGCATTCGCACAAGTAGCTGCCTTTGTTCAGCTGAGAAAGATAGGCTGGCTTCAGTCTTACTCCTTAGATACTCGTGACTGCTTTGCAAAGGAAAGATGAAGAGGCAAACCGAGCCAAGAGGATAAATAACTTCCCATGTAGAAGGAATCCAACACCGCAGCACTCAACCTGAACAAAGCTTTGAGGACAGACCAATGTTTTCCTTCGTATTCATAAATAAGGAGCCTCCACCCTGGATAGGTGTCATTTACTAACAGGACTCCAGAATTTTCCAGCAGTTGCTCCAAATCAACAATACTTACCTTGAATATTGCTTTCTGGTTGTTTCTAGGGTTACTTGCATCCAGAATGGAAGCTTGATAGACTTGGGCAAAAGCTCCCTCTCCAACCAAGCAGTCCACGTGGAATGTACTGGAACCTTTAAGAGATTAACAACATTAAGCCTTGCTTGCAAACCTCATGGAAGAGAGACCACTGCTCATAGAATCCTAGAATAGTTAGGGTTGGAAAGGACCTTAAGATCATCCAGTTCCAACCCCCCTGCCATGGGCAGGGACACCTCACACTAAACCATGGCACCCAAGGCTCTGTCCAACCTGGCCTTGAACACTGCCAGGGATGGAGCATTCACAACCTCCCTGGGCAATCCATTCCAGTGCCTCACCACCCTCACAGTAAAGAACTTCCTCCTTAGATCCAGTCTAAACTTCCCCTGTTTCAGTTTGAACCCATTACCCCTTGTCCTGTCACTACAGTCCCTATGCAAGTTATTGCTTTAACCCTCGAGCCAGCCTTTCTCTACAAGCCTGTTCTCCACAGAAGAGAACAAGTAGTGTGTGACGTGCCACATGCTAAACAAAATAATCAGTGTTTCTATTTTAGGCTGACTCCCTGGAAGCAATCAGATTCCAAAGTGCATTTCTTCAAAAGTAAACACCAATGGTTTAAGTCATACAAGTATGTTGCAATTGCTGTCGTACAGACTCTGTTGACGCAGGACTGGTGCTGCTCTGGACACAGTTTGAGTTGTGTTATGAGGAAAACCAGGAAAATTCCCTACTCAGAAGGTCTGTTCAAAAACGCTGATGCTACAGAAGACAAACCAAAAACCAGGTCTGATTTCAGAGCTGAGGTTTAGATAATCTGGAAGCTCTCTGGGTATACACACAGGTGAAGTAGAAAACAGAGGTTTCCAGAAAACCATCAAGAAGTGCTTAACAAGTGAGATGCTTGAGGTGGCTCTTACCCAGTGAGAGGTCAGCCTTCAGCCTGATGGGTGGAACTGCAGATTTCCACTCAAAGTAGTTGCCGTAGGTGTGGAGTGGTTTAGGAAGCTCTGATAAGAGCTTGCAAATCAATTCCTTGTCCCAGGGGTTCTCAACAAGGACTTCATGGAAAGAAGAAAAAGTGCTATAAGCAAAGTGTCTCTCAATAGAGGTAACACAGGCTTGTACTTGAAAGAGTATCACTGATTTAAAAGAAAAACCAGAATAAACATCAAAACCCCCAAAGAGAGATAAGTGAAGTATTCCTCAATTTTGACAATCCAGCTTTTATACCTAGGACTTCCTCTTAAAGTTGCCCAGGCAGATGTTTCCAATAGATTTGAGCCTTAACTAGCAATGAATCCTTAAATACTCCCGAGTACTCCTGTACTTCAGAGTACCTTTGGCATCAGGTAATACAGGTACAAGACTCTTGTCCTTCCTCGCATCATCTGTCCCTAAGCAATCTCCTTGCAGGAGCCATGAGACAATTTGCTCACTGCAGTGAGCCCTTTCACGTCGGAACAAAGCACTGCTGCAAGAGCACAGCACCACTCCATTGTCAGATGTGATGGGAGGAAGCTGCAGGCAATGCTCTGTACCTGCAGCTCTAGCACTCCGGGCTGTCCTGTCCTGCCCAGCTCCAGGCAGCTTTTCATGGGGAATTCTGTCCAGCCCAGCAGATGAGGAATACTCGGCTCTGCTGGTGACAGTCTGCTCATGTAACCTTTGAGAAGCAGCTGTAGCAGGTCCTGGAATTCCATTGCCTTGTTTGAAGACATTTCCTTGATGCTCTTCTTGTTCTGCAATGTGTTGAAGAGCAGGGCTGTGTGTTTAAAACAAAGCATTAGTACTTGACAGTACTGCCATGGGGTTCATACATCTTCAGGAAGGAAAAATGTGTCAAAAAGTCCACCCCGGCCATAACCAACATTGAGATGAATAAAGTGAACGTTTCCTAAGAAAATAAGAGTTGATCACTTCATGCTACCCATAGACTAGTAGCTTTCAAGTTCATCAGTCAGCGAATTTAGCCAATATTGAAAAGAAAGCAGTAATTTTACATACTCTGAAGAGAAGGCTCAGGGAGAGACCTTACAACAGTCTTCCAGTGCTTAAAGGGGCTGCAGGAAAGCTGGAGAGGGGCTTGGGACAAGGGATGGAGGGACAGGCCAAGGGGAATGGCTTGAACCTGCCCGAGGGGAGACTGAGCTGAGCTCTTAGGCAGAAGCTCTTCCCTGTGAGGGTGCTGAGGCGCTGGCACAGGGTGCCCAGAGAAGCTGTGGCTGCCCCATCCCTGGCAGTGTTCAAGGGCAGGTTGGACACAGGGGCTTGGAGCAAGCTGCTCTAGTGGAAGGGGTCCCTGCTGTGGGAGCAGGGCTTGAAGCTGGAGGAGCTTTAAGGTCCTTTCCAACTCAGACCACTCTGTTATTCTGTGATACACAGCCATTAAAATGTTTTGGACAGTTAACTTTTAATGCAAACGTGTCAGGGAATGCAAATCATAGGAGCATTTTTAGGTTCATTTACCTCCACAAAGAGCTGAGATTTACAGTGAGCACAGTCAGTCTGACATGAACACATCAGCTCTAGATTAGGTGGAAAACTCCTGTCAAGAGCAGCTTACCGGACCTGCCTGCTCTGGCACTCTCAAGTCTTGAGAAGCTCCCCAAGTCATGACTTACCTCAGCTTCTTTGCTTTTGGCTGCTTGTGTAGTTCTTCAGAAAACTCCAAATCCATTTGTGGCAAGTCATCCCCACGGGCTGAACAAAGGGAGGAGGAACAACAGCAAATGTTTAATATCCCCAAGGGCAAGAACATTTAGTCTTCTTGCCAAGACAAGCAGGTGAAGTTGTGAAAGCTGCCAGGGTATCACAAAAACTAGAGCTGAACAAAAGCCCATGTTAAAATAGATGAGTAAAAGTAGTTCTTTAGGGAGTGTATTCCAGGACTAAAGAGAGGCAGACAAGCATAAAGCTGCCCCCAGAAGAAGGTGGTGCTGGGATTCCAAGCAATTTTATGACTATTTACAACCCCTTGGAACAGTTCAGAGCAGCAGTTTGACAGCACCACGAAAGCCTCTCTTTTCCCTTACCACCTTCTCTTATTCCCCCAGTTAAAAGCCCTTGGAAAGCTCATGTGCTGGACCAGGCTGTGCTCCCAGATGCTGTCCTGCAAGGGCTGTGTACTCTGAAGTGGCAGCAGCGAGAGCCATACCTGTGTGGTATGTGGCAAAGGCTGTGAGGTAACCAGGGCACAGAAACGGAGTGATGCAGCACTGAGTTACATGCTCCAACCTGGAGTATTCCTTACTTTACCTCTGTCCTCCAAAGCCTGTTGTGGGTGGGCTGAAAGGTAATTAAATGGGGTCGATACGAGCTGGGCAGCTCGTGCAAAGTCTCTTGTGTTGTCTGGACTGGGAGCTAATGTCTTATTACTGCTGGGGAGATTCCACACTGTAAAATCATCCCTCAGGAACTCTGCTGTCCCTGTTTCTTCCTAGACAAGGAAAAGGAGACAAAGATTTAAAACTAAGCCATCAAAGCCATCCTACAGTGTAACCCTACAGCAGCCTCTGCAGTCAGTTCAGTAATGCTGAGCCTGCACGTGTCAAATTACAGCATTAGAAAAATTAAGGAATGGCAATATGACCTAAATGGCAGGCTTACAGAGTTCTGTGTCAGATCTGGATGTTGGGAATAACCAGCAATACACTAGGCAAAAAATGTCAGATGAGAATGAAAAAGCCCATCTCCTTACTCAGCCATGACTCGTATCCAAGCAGACTGAAGCTTTATCCAGCTCCTTGGCTGTGAAAACTGTCAAGTGGTTATTAAGTTTCTCTTGCTCCCTGTCCTTCCTCTCCCAAAGAGAATCATGGAATGGTTTGGGTTGAAGGGACCTTAAAGCTCCTCCAGCTCCAACCCCTGCCACGGGCAGGGACCCCTTCCACTAGAGCAGCTTGCTCCAAGCCCCTGTGTCCAACCTGGCCTTGAACACTGCCAGGGATGGGGCAGCCACAGCTTCTCTGGGCACCCTGTCTAGGAAAGAATTTCATCCTTATATCTAATCTAAATCTCCCCTCTGTCAGGTTAAAGCCATTCCTCCTTGTCAAAGCCATGCATTTAGTGCAGTCAGATTTGTTCTAAGGATAGAGTTCTCCAAAAGGAAATTCCTAGAAGCTTTATGAAAATTAACTGGAAAGATTCATCCCATTGGCAGGGAATGGGAGAGTATCTAGATTTCAGCTGAGTTCATTAGACTTTTGCAGGACTGGGACCGACCAGAGGTAAATGCAGCCATCTCTGCTATCCCCTCTAACTACATAACCCATTTTTAAGGATAATTCTTGCAATAACTTCAAACACTCACTTCTGTGTTTGCTGTACAGTCGGTCAAGGGACGTTCTCCAACGGTTCTGGGCTCTTCTGACTTGGTTTTATGCTGTGGGATCCTGACAAAAGAGGTAGTTTGGAATCTGAGGGTTCAGGCTCTTCCAGACACACTGATCATAACAAAGGCTTCTTGGTTTGAACTTTTATTCTTTTAGCCAACCCCATTTGCAGACACTTAGGGAAGCTGCAGTAGCTCAAAGGAACAAACTATCCACACTTATCCAGAAAATTAAGCACCTCAAGCACTGTCCAAACAAAGAAGTTGTGCAATTCCACAGAGAAGCAACTGCAGCTTTCTCAAGCCCCTTCCACACAGCTGCTAGTGACTGTATTCAAGCCAGTCCTGGTACTGCAAATACAGTCACAGCAGTTCTATAGGACAGAGTCAATCCTACATGGAATTCTTAACGAACTGAACTCGGGTGTTACTTTTCTGCTCCTTACCCATTGTTCTCTTTCTCATTCTCATCTTCAAAGATGGAAAACGCAGGCACGACAGGGATCACCACAGCGGGTTTCAGACTTCCATCAGGGTCTTAAAAATGAAAGACAACCAATGTTACCTTCACCCCAGGAAGAGTATATAAACAGTCACATTGTCACCCCTAACCAGGCAACTGATGCTCATGGCTGCATCCTGAAGCATCCTCAGGATTCCCTCAAATTGTCTTTCCTATAAGCTCTTGGAAACGAGGAAGAGTTTTCCACCCCAAACCCAAGGCTGACCCAGGAATACAGAAGCTTTCTTGGCTGCATCTGATCAGCTGTGAAACACCTCACTGCTCACTCCTGTCAGCCACTGCTACTGCCTGGTTTTCAACTGTTACAACAAGCTGCTGATTCAGGTACTAAAACCCAGCCTCCAAAATGCTTTAGTAAAAAGCTTTACTCACATGAAGCTGTGCTCTCTGCAAAGTTAGGTTTTAAACACCAGGGAATTCTCTACAGAGAAGCATCAATAGGTTTACTAACAGTGAAGTGCTTCTGCTCTTCTCTGACCATGCATCAAGGTTTAGATCTTGTTAGTAAATTAAATTACCAGGAAAGAAGCTGTTTCTTCTCACCTCCTCAAACTGTTACTTATCTCAGAGCTATCAGGACTGGTGGGAGGGGAAATGGGAAATAAAGGCAGGAAATGTCATGGAGTGAAGAACATAAATAGCACCTACCACTTTTTCTGCAGAAGGCTTCAAATTGCTCCTCGCTTTCGTCCAGAGGAGATGGTTCAGGCAGGATGGGTGTTTGAAACATATCCATGAGAAATCCTAAATAAATGAATCAAATTAATACCCCCAAACCCACAGGAATATCACACCCGGTAGAAGTGGGTTTCAGAGGTTCTTCCATTGTGTAGTCAAACCCAATGCCAGCTCATTATAATATTCCTATGATTTATCAAATGCCAGTAACCATTCCTTCCTAGTGCATTTAAACCCTCCAGACAACTGAACACACACCCAGGGAGATCCAGCTTGGCCAGCACATACTTGTTGGTGCTATGAGATTTCAATTCTGCCACAGGAGCAAGTTTTATCTCTGCTTTATCTCCTTAGCTATTTGGAAAACTAATACACTGTTTAGAATTGACAATGTCTGTTAAATAATCAAAGACCTTTTGCATAAGTCACCCTTGCTGCAGCTTTGGGGGAAGCTCAGCATCACCCAGAGCTGACCTACTAACTACATAAGGTTCTTCCACATCAGTTTCTTGTGGATCTCCATCTCAAAAAGAGGAGCCCCTGGCAGTATTGACAAGAGCAGCTCAGAAGCCAAGGAAGAAGCCTGCAGGTGTAGCACCAATAACTTATCCAGGAGTGTCTGGATGTATCCATGGGGCTGCTGGGATGTTATTAAAGCATCTATTACTGGTCAAACATTTTAGGTCATGCAGACAACAGCAAAAGAAGAATACCAGTTTAATCTCATTTTCCTCTTTGACTGAATGGTGCACATGCCCATCTCTAGACAATGTCCTTGTAGAGGTGGCTCCACCTAAGTTACAGGCAAGATCCCATTACCTCCAGTGGAACTAGCATAGTATTCCAGGAGCTTACCCAGTGCTTCCTTCGTATGGACTGTAGGTGAAGGCTGCACTTTGAATGGTGTGGCCTGTGTTGCTCCTCCCAGCGAGGTGTTTGGGGTGGCTTGAGAAGCATTTCCAGAAGCAAAGGAAGAATTCCCTGCTCTAGATGCTAGGAAAGAGAACAAGGGAATTTCTGAAGTAGCCTGGGATTGTTCATTAACATCTCAGTAGAAAGCAAACTGTCGTGAGAGAAGTGAATGAGTTTGAGGAGCAGAATGACAACCCAGACTTTTGGGAGAGATTTTGTCTTGTGCCCAGATCTGCCTGGCAGATTCCCAAGGGAGAGTGCCCTGAAGGGCAAATGGGACCTTGGACAGCTGGGTGCCACTGGTGCCCATCTTCAATTCACAGGAATGATCCATTCTGACACAGAAAGCAAAGGAGGCAGGGAGTCAGCAAGGACAAACAGGGAACTCCTGACCAAGCTCAAAGGAAAAGGAATTGCCCACAAGGTGGAAAAGTGATGGGAAGGGATATAGAGACACTGCCCAAGCATGCAGGGGTGGAGTTAAGAAAGTCAGAAAGTTTAGCTGGGGTTGGAACTAGCAGCCACGTGCTGTTGATCACCAGCCAGTCACACCGATAGCATCGGTCTTTATCAAAGCTGGGCTTATTACCTTCCTTCACATCCACAGCAGATGTCAGTGTAGCAGTTCTCTGGTTGGAGTGCCTTCAAAGGAAAGATTAACAACATTAGCTTGAAATAAAAGCCATTATTTAAATTCCAGCTTCATTCTAGACAGTAAGGAGGCCTTTCCCAGTCTGGAACAAAGGAAACGTCCCAAACACAACTTGTGATCCTATTTTTATCCCCCATGAACGACTTTAAAGTCTCACAAACGAAGCAAGTGAGAGATCCTTTAGAATGTTGTTAGAGGCTGCCCCTAAGAAAGCTTCCCATACACTGTCAATAGGTGTAAAACTTGAAAGGCAGCAGAGTCCTTTAGACAGGTTGAAACGCAGGCATTACATACTCTTCTTGGGCACACTTTACCTCCAAATAACTCCCTAAAATAAGTGAATGACAACTGGTTGGCCAAGCCCACCCAGGCAGGCTTGCTTTGTCAAGCTAGGTTTCTCCCTCTGCCCTCAGCTTTGTTTCCTGTATTAAGCCAAGTCAGGCAAGCAAGATGTACAGAAGATAAATACAAGCACTTTTTTCTTCTCTGGAGATCTCTGTGGCCAAGATGTAGTGTATGGGACCTGCAGGAACTGAGCATATCCTGTTTATTTCGGGCATGCCAGGGCCAGCAATGCTGAATGCTTACTGCAGTTACACACTCTGTTTCCTCTTTGTTATTACAAAGGAATTAACAACTGAAAGGAGGATTCTATGTTAGGGAAGTTTGATCTAGATTTAGGTATTGGTTTCACCCTGCTATTTCAGATTGTTTTCAGAAGAGGAAGAAAGACTTTTTTTAGGTAATTCTCAGTTGAAGTATAGCATAAGAGCAAGAATTATCCTGTTTATACATACTTTTCTCCAGTGCTCCAGTTAAGAGCAGAGTCAGGATGTGCCCGTTCCTGAGCTGAAGCATTACTGAAGGGATGGTGTAACAAACTCTTCTGGAGTTGGCCGATCTCTGGCTGAGTTCTGACTGCATCCTTCTTACACGTTTCTTCCCACAGGGAGGTTGATGTCTTCTGGTGGCCAGTGGCTTTTCCTGGCTGCAGTGTAGGAGCAGTGGCTGATAAAGCACTTGCCTGAGGCTGGTCTGGTACCAGCCCTCGGGTGTTGTGTAGATGCGAAGGTTGACAAGATGCCCTCCAGTTCTGCTGCAGAGCTGCACTGGGTGTCACATGTGAATGCACCTTTAGGGATGAGAAATGCTCTTTTACACTCAAATACCCCCACAGGTAGAGCCATTGCCATTTTCTTTCTACTTCTGCAGAACCAGAACAGTTTTTCATGCCTAACTTCCATATGCAATTCAAACTAAATCATGGAGAAGCAAAAGGGAACCTTTGGGTTTAACAACCAAAATACATATCATTGAGTATTTAAAGTTATGGCAGCTATCTACACTAGTGAATACTGCAGCCTGAACTGGCAGGTTTGGTTAGCAGTCTGCTCTGGTGACTGTCTAAAGCATGGTTAGGTTGTGAGATAAGCTCATGAAGACAGCTCCTGTCAATCACAGGGTACGTACTCACCACTGTCCCATTTGGCCCAGCTGATGTTGTAGCTGCTGGTTCCAGTCGGGTCTCCTCCAAGCTTTTGGTGAGCTGGGTGAGCTGCTCCAGCTTCTGCTGCAGGGCTTGCAGTTCAAGGACAGCTGATTCCTTTTTCCTTAGGGAGTCTCTCTCTTCTTTCTCTAAGGATTAAACAACCATAGTAAGTGAAACAGTTAATCAGCATCCAAATTAATTTCTCAACAGCCATTACAAGCTGCTTGGGTTTAAAATTTAGCTATATAGTCTGTACAATAGACAGAGCTCGGCTCCAGGGGCACAAGGTTGGGAGAAGCAGTTATTTCCCACATAGCATCATAGATGGTGCAATCACAAGCTCTCTGGGCAGCCTGTGACTAACTTGGGCCAAGGACAAAGCATGGCATCATAAGGAACCATATAACAGCTTAAACTGTCCTCTGGGCAGTCTTTGATTACAGCCTACTGATGGGAACCAAGGTGCTCTCCATCCTGAATTCCAGGTGGCAGAGAGCCACAGCTTGAGCTCACATCAGGGTAAGCAGGACTGCTCACGAGAAACACCACTGTGAAAACCCATGTTTGAAAGGACAAACCTAAGGGATGAGCTTAAACAGTAAAGATTGGTGTCGATTGTTTGGCATGCTACCTGATGCTTCCAAGCTCATCCCACCCCATTTCCATACAGGGATGCTAACTTGGGCTTTGAGAAGGCTTCCAGGCTTCAGTAGAGAGGTTGAAAGAGAAATGAATGCAGCCCAGCATTAGTTCTCCGAGGATATGAGAACCTTTCTGGAATAGCTAGATGGAAAGGGAGGAATACCCCATTCCTGCTGCCTCCTGAGGCGCTCGTACTTCTTGAAGTATCGCTTGGCTCTCAGCTCCTCAAAGGAAAGTTCGGAGCCTTCACAGATGAGCAGGTTCTTCTCATACATTGCAACCTGCTCACACTCAGCACCAGCAGAGGATGACTTGGGACGGACTTCAGATTTGGAGATGTATGTAACGTACTTTCTGTGGGGAAAAACACGGAGGAGCTCTATTCAAGTTTGTTGGGTTGATGCCAGGAATGTGTTCATATTCCCCCACTGAGACTTTAAAAAACCCCAAACACTTACACTTCTTCTCTTCCACCAGAACAGGACTGAGCACCAGCAGAATCAGGACCCTAAAGGAGGGAAGGGGAAATAAAACACTAAACTAGAAACAGGAGTTCTAGTATTACAGTTAACCACTCATTTTGACAGGACCAGCAACCACAAAGCCCCCAGTATTTAATCCTGATAGAAGGGATGACAATTCAGACCATGAGCATGACAAGAGCAGATCAGAAAGAGCTCTACCGGTCATCAGAGCCTGAACAATTAGCCATGTAACAGGCTGCTGCCATCTCAGAGAGCTTTTGGAAGCTGGGTACTGGAACTATCCAGAAAGGATATCTGGATACTGGAACTAGGTGAACAGGGAGCTTCTATTCCAAAAACCAGGAGTGTAAGTTGCAGATCACTTGAGTTTGTTAAGAACAGACCTGATGCCCCACTCAATTTCTTTCTTTGTCCCACCTCAGGGCTAAGGAACAGGGAGCAGACACAGGAAGCTTTAACTCCATTCCATCACCCACAACACCTTCCACAATCTGTAGGCAATACCAAGCTAAAGGGTCAGGAGCGCTTTAGAAAACAGGACCAAGCTGGAAAAGGCTTCGTCTGTTCCTTACACAGTCTTTCAGGCTGTAGTTTCACTCCCTGTTCACCTTCTCGCTGTGCAGAACTGTAACCAGCTATGGCAAACCTCAGAAGGACGGGTGCTGCTGAGTTACAAGTATGGTTTCTTTGTTTTGCTGTTTTATTGGGGGGAAGGAGGTGAAGGAAGACAGCTACAGGGTGACAGGATTCCCACTGTAAAGCTAACTCCAGATAGCTCACGAGGTATGAGCAGAACCTGACCTGGACCTTGTTAGACTGAGCTGGCAAGCTGCAGAGGGGCTCAAGAACTGTGCTAAAGTCACCTCCTACTCATTTCCCAGTTTAGACTGGCTCCTATAAGAAACCATCATCCCACTGAGAACAAGCCCAGACACTTCTCCTCGTCCCCTGGCATTATCTTTATTCATTCTTAAAGAGGATATTTTAGAAGCAACTCGAATTTCACCAAAATTCAGTGGAGGCAGTCTCCAGGGAGCACAGCTGGCACAGGATCTATTGATAACATTCCTCCTGTGAAGGATCCAACCAGCTGGATGGAGCAGTCTCTGCTTATGCTTCTGGAAATATGCCAAGTGGAACTAAAAGGGTATCCCAGCACTTCCCAGCTGAGATATTTCTATGAAGATGTGGCAGCATAAACCCACCAGGAACGTTCCTGAGCCACGCCAGACACAGTTAATATGCTTTATTGTCCTTACTCAGGCAAGCTCTTCAATCTAACCTTTGTGAGGGCTCCACAACATCACTTACGAGTAGTCACTTACCTGATTTTTGCAGGCATATGTGGTCTCATTATTATTTGAAACACTCTTCTGAGGAGCCATTAGATTTGCAGCATGTGAAGTTTGAAGGGGTTTGATGACAGCAGCGCCTGGGACAGGTAACATGGGTTTGCATTAATGAGTAGGAATCATTTTCTCATTTATGAATTTCGATTCACTTTAAGCACTGGAAAATTAGGAACTCATTTGGAAGACACTTCCCTTCAGAACTGTAAGGGTAGCCAGGAAAATAGGGGAAAAAAAGACTCAGCTGCTATGGGAAACTTGATTTCTTCAGTGACAGAACGCACTGGTTGAGGTAAAAGATTCATCTAATGGAGCTACAGCACACAAGCAGGTACCTTGAGCCTCACCTTGCAAAGGAGGATTCCGGGGATCAGAGTTCTGCAGCCAGCTAAATTGCAAGAAAAGACAGTTACTGTCATTATATATACCTGTACCTCACACCTCCCCACCCCAGGAGCCTTTGATTCTCTTGTACAGTCATCATTGCAACACTGAGAACCCAAGGCAGTTACAGGACACTGATTACTGCACATGGACATATCATAGAATAGTTTGGGTTGGAAAGGACCTTAAGATCATCCAGTTCCAACCCCCCTGACATGGCCAGGGACACCTCACACTAAACCATGGCACCCAAGGCTCTGTCCTACCTGGCCTTGAACACTGCCAGGGATGGAGCACTCACAACCTCCCTGGGCAACCCATTCCAGTGCCTCAGCACTCTCACAGGAAAGAATTTCCTCCTCAGATCCAATCTAAACTTCCCCTGTTTAAGTTTTAGCCCATTACCCCTTGTCCTGTCACTACAGTCCCTAATGAAGAGTCCCTCCCCAGCATCCCTACAGGCCCCCTTGCAGCTTCTCTTCTCCAGGCTGAACAGCCCCAACTTCCTCAGCCTATCTTTATACAGGAGGTGCTCCAGCCCCTGAGCATCCTCGTGGCCTCCTCTGGACTTGTTCCAACAGTTCCATGTCCTTTTTATGTTGAGGACACCAGAACTGCACACAATGCTCCAGGTGAGGTCTCACAAGAGCAGAGCAGAGGGGCAGGATCACCTCCTTCGCCCTGCTGGTCACGCTCCTTTGGATGCAGGCCAGGATACGGTTGCTTTCTGGGCTGTGAGCGCACACTGAAGCCGGCTCATGTTCATTTTCTCATCAACCAACACCCCCAAGTCCTTCTCCTTGGGCTGCTCTGAATCTCTTCTTGCCCAACCTGCAGCTGTGCCTGGGATTGCTCCGACCCAGGTATAGGACCTTGCACTTGGCATGGTTAAACTCCATGAGGTTGGCATCAGCCCACCTCAGAAGCGTGCTGAGGTCCCTCTGGATGGCATTCCTTCCCTCCAGCGTATCAACTGAAATATCCTTGAAGCTTGAGCTTCCAAGCAGTGAAGCTCACACCCATGTTTCCCAAGTAGGCTGCCTGAAGCAGGCCAGGCTACCCATCTTTATAGTTTAAATCTACTTCACAGACACTAGACAGGAAACCAGTCAATAAACTGATCTTTTTGGGCCCTGCTCTGCTGAAGACTGGTACAGGTTTTATATACACCCCCTCCGAAACACCCAACAGATACTGAAAGGCAAAGAAGCATTCTTAAACTTATACCTACATCTAACAAAACCAATCATTGCCTCAGCTATAGCACGTACACACAAGAAAAGAACCTCAAATGAACCCTCCGAACAGCCCCAGAAGTGAAGGATGTGTCAGGGTTACCAGTAGAGCTGCTGCAGGTTCTCTCGTGGCTGGGCCTGGTTGTGAAGCCCTCTCTGAAGGACAGCTCCCGCATGCTGCACATTGCCCTCGCTGATGAGCTGCTGAGCCCAAGCAACGTAGAAGCTCGATGCCTTTGCACCAACTCCTTGCCCGTGCAGGTAGTCAAAATACTGGCAAGGAGAAGAGATGAATCCTGCCTGTGTGACATAAAGGTGCATAAATGCTCTCAAATACATCCAAGGAAGAAGCAAATAAACCCAGTAACCATTTATTAGTTACCACCATAGGGAAGCAGTGTTTTCTAAAGCAAAGCCTGATGTGATACCTAACAAGCCAAGCAGCTGAATAACAGAGTAATAGAGATACACGCTGTCCTTCAGCAGGATGGAGAAGTCCTCAGAGCTCCTGCAGAGAGCAGCAACACATCTAAGTTCCACACCACCTCCCTGAAGGCTCCTTTTCCTCCCAGAGCTCTCTGCAGTCAGAGCTACAGAATGGCAGGACAGCTTTGCTTTATTAGGATAGCTTAATTCTTCCCAAAAGCATACACCTACCAGCTTAATGCAGTAGTTAACAAATCTCGGATCTTCGTGGTACCTCTTCTCACTCAAGAACATCCTTACAAGCTGCTCGAGGAGGCTGGGCAAGCGGTTCTGCTTCTCTTGCGGGGGAAGACATCCTTCTACCCACTGTGCGTACCTGAAACACGGCCAAGCAACTCAGAACAGCTGCTCAAACACAGTCCTGCTTTCAAACTGAAACAGGGGAAGTTCAGGTTGGACACAAGGCAGAAGCTCTTCCCTGTGAGGGTGCTGAGGCGCTGGCACAGGGTGCCCAGAGAAGCTGTGGCTGCCCCATCCCTGGCAGTGTTCAAGGCCAGGTTGGACACAGGGGCTTGGAGCAAGCTGCTCCAGTGGAAGGGGCTGACCTGTCCCATAGCTCCAGCGGGTCGGTCCCTCGGTACTCCCGTATCTGAGCCTCGAAGCTCCTGCAAGACAAAGGAAGGGTCAGGCCGGGCTCAGCGCAGGCCCCCCTCCACACACACCCACACCCACACACACACACACACACAGCTCCGGCCGGCAAACCGCGCCCGGGACAAAGGCCGGGGGCTCCCCGCTGCACTAACACGGGGTCCGGGCCCCCCGGTGCCCCCGTGCCGGCCGCGCTCACCTCACGGCCGCCTCCATGTTGCAGCCCCTCTACCGGCCGTGCGGATTCAAACCCGCCGCGCAACTCTCCCATTGGCTGCCGAGCTCCGCCAATCACGCCGAGCTTCCGCTGGGAGCCCGCCCCGTCTTTGTCACCCCATTGGGTGAGCGCGGCCCCGCCCCTGCGTGGCCGGCTGGCGGCGCGCGGGGCTGTGGTCAATGGCTCTGTGTGCGCTGCAGGCCAGTAACGAGTGGGGTCCCTCAGGGGTCGGTGTCGGGACCGGTCTTGTTCAACATCTTCGTCGCTGACATGGACAGTGGGATTGAGCGCGCCCTCAGCAAATTTGCCGATGACACCGAGCTGTGTGGTTCGGTTGATACCCTGGAGGGAAGGAATGCCATCCAGAGGGACCTCGACATGCTTGTGAGGTGGGCTGATGCCAACCTCATGGAGTTTAACCATGCCAAGTGCAAGGTCCTACACCTGGGTGGGAGCAATCCCAGGCACAGCTACAGGTTGGGCAGAGAAGAGATTCAGAGCAGCCCAAGGAGAAGGACTTGGGGGTGTTGGTTGATGAGAAAATGAACATGAGCCGGCTTCAGTGTGCGCTCGCAGCCCAGAAAGCAACCGTATCCTGGGCTGCATCCAAAGGAGCGTGACCAGCAGGGGGAAGGAGGTGATCCTGCCCCTCTGCTCTGCTCTTGTGAGACCTCACCTGGAGCATTGTGTGCAGTTCTGGTGTCCTCAACATAAAAAGGACATGGAACTGCTGGAACAAGTCCAGAGGAGGCCACGAGGATGCTCAGGGGCTGGAGCACCTCCTGTATGAAGACAGGCTGAGGAAGTTGGGGCTGTTCAGCCTGGAGAAGAGAAGCTGCGTGGAGACCTCAGAGCAGCTTCCAGTGTCTGAAGGGGGCTATAGGGATGCTGGGGAGGGACTCTTCATTAGGGACTGTAGTGATAGAACAAGGGGTAATGGGTTCAAACTTAAACAGGGGAAGTTTAGATTGGATCTAAGGAGGAAATTCTTTCCTGTGAGGGTGGTGAGGCACTGGAATGGGTTGCCCAGGGAGGCTGTGAATGCTCCATCCCTGGCAGTGTTCAAGGCCAGGTTGGACAGAGCCTTGGGTGCCATGGTTTAGTGTGAGGTGTCTGTGCCCATGGCAGGGGGGTTGGAACTGGATGATCTTAAGGTCCTTTCCAACCCTAACTATTCTGTGGTTCTATGCCAACCGTGATTTATGACTATAAAGGCAGCCCGGGCAGGCCCAGCCTGCACTATGCACTGCACAGTGTTCTAGGGGAGCAGGATGTGGCCTCGCTCTGCTGGAATTTACTTCCTCTGCACATACAAGTAAACAGGGAAGTTGGGAGGAAGTCCCATGGGAAGTGGAAACCCCGCCCCAAGACTCAAACAGGAACTGTGCACCCGTAAGCATGTGATCCAACACATTAACTCTCTGACAACCAGTTGTTTTTCCCTACTGCTGAGTTTAATGTACAACAGCGCTGCTGGATTCAGCTGCACTGGTCCATACACAGCTATAAAAGTGCTGTAATACAAAAGTCCAGTTACAAGGAGTAGGTATTTCATAACATACTGAATATGGCACCATCAGTGACTGGCACAGTCCCTACACCCACGCTCCCTCTGCTTCCTCACGAGGGTAGTTCCAGTTTCAACATATACACGAGACTTGATGCGAGATAAAGCTCCTTTACACAATGAAGCCACTTTGGGCACCACCTGCCCCCTCTGCTGCATGCCCTGGTCCCCACACACATCCAGGCTGGAGATGAGCAGCCAGGGAACATGCCCAAGGCCCAGGCAGCTGAGGATTAGCTCCCTCCTCACTGACTGCCACGGCTGGTCCCCATCACGCTGCGCTCTCTGAAGCGGGGTGGCTGGGAACAGGAGCAGTAGGGGCCAAGTTGAGGATCTCCTCGAACGATGGGCCTTCATCCTCAAGGGGTATCTCTGCCTCGAACATGCGCTGGAGCAGAGCATCCACCGTCCTGTACCCTGCATGTGGGCAAAGGGAAGTTACTGTGAGCACCTACCCCTGTTCTCCTGAGGGCCTTAAGGCAGCTCCCCGTGTTTGACACTAACAGACACCCAAAGTGCTGTTCCCTGGCATTTTACCCCATGTATTTCTAAGCACTTATCCATTACAAGACCATTGTTTTAACACATTAAGCATTTCCATTCCCATGTGTCCCTCAGCACATCCCACCCTACTGCCATAGCAAGAAGCATGAGCTCAGGGAATTGCTAAGGAACAGCCAGAAAGCCAGCAGAAGAAAAAGCAGTTGTTAAGCTAAAGGAGCCTATAGTCACCCCGTGATCCAAGCCAGGAGGAAGGCAAAGCACGTGCAGGAAGGAGGAAAGAACACAGACTTCTCAGCAGCAGCAGGGCCTCCACCACCAAGGCAGCATCTTCAGATGCTTCAGACAAGTGTGCACAGAAGGGCTGAGGTGAAAAAGAGAAGAATTTGCTATAGAAGTAAAAAGAAACAGCAAATATGAGAGTGTCCACAGCTCTCTCAAAAGCCCCAGCTGGGTTTAAGCTGCTCTTACAGCCCAAAGGAGCAGCAGTGCGTGGGAGCTTCCCCAGAGAGGGCTATGATCAGGGACAGTTCAGGCCTCAAACGAAACCCTGGGCACACAGCAGGGCTGCACTTACGTTTGGAGGCAATTTTGAACACCAGCCCTTTGGATGGTGGCTTTGCTCCACTGTCCCCCTCAAGGTCGTGCTCGGTGCTCTCCATGTTATCAAGGAGCTGTTCATCCCGGAGCTCATCCCTACACAAGAAAGGCCAGAAGTTACCCAGGGGAGGCACATCCTGCCCAAGGAGCCCACGTGGAGCCAGCAGCAATGGATTCTCTTGGGCAGGGCAGGTACCAGTCACAGTGTTAGCCCCCAGCATCACCCCTGTCCTCTGGGCAGCAGCCCTGGGCTGGGAGAGCTCAGGGGCAGCTGCTGCCATCTAGCCCAACCCTGCACAGAATCACAGCACCAATCGGGTTGGAAAAGCCCTTTAAGCTCACCCAGTCCACCCATTCCCCAGCACTGCCAAGGCCACCACTAACCCATGGCACCGAGAGCTTCATCTATGGTCACGATGGATTAGCAAGAGCTTTGTGACAAGGAAGAGGAGCCTCAGCTCGCTCCTCCGGAGTGGGGCTTTTCCCTCCAGTCCCACAGCCCTCATCAATGTGCCAAGCCAGCCACATCCAGCACTACCCTCCTGGGGGGGGGGCTTACTCTTGAACTCCCATTCCCAGCTCCTGGATTTTCTGTTCAATGGCTGTCTCGACTTCACTCTTCTCGAGGGAGTACTCCACAAAGAAAGCTTCCAAAATGAACGACACAAAGATGCTGAAAGAAACCATGAGCAGAATCATGTGGCAGCATTTCCCTCCTGGCATTCCCCCCCTGCCTTTGGGCATCACAGAATCCCAGACTGGTTTGGGTTGGAAGTGACCTTAAAGCTCATCCAGTTCCAACCCCCTGCCACAGGCAGGGACATCTTCCACTAGAGCAGCTTGCTCCAAGCCCCTGTGTCCAACCTGGCCTTATCAATGAGTGTCTCAATATTCCCTGGCTCATTTCCCAGCGCTCCATCCCCTCCCCTGCTGGAGATGGGGAGCTCTGCATCAGAGCAGCACCCAGCAGAGGCAAGAACAGATGCAGCAGATTCCTCCATCGCACACCCATCTCTGAGTCACACCAGGTATGATCCTGGGACCATCAGCAGCACCCAGCAGAGGCAAGAACAGATGCAGCAGATTCCTCCATCGCACATCCCACCCATCTCCAAAGTGGAGGGGAGCAGCCCAGCACTTACTTGACAATGATTATCACCATCACGATGTGGAAGGCAATGAAATACAGCTTTGCAGGCTGCACTGTCACGTTGGCAAACCCATTGGCAAAGAGTACAGGGAGAGTTAAGGGCCAGAGCATTACAGAACATCTTGCTGTAGGGTTGGGCTATAGGAGGAAGAACCAGGTCACACAACCCACTTTCCAAACAAAGCCCTCTGCAGCAACCATTTCTCTGTCATCTGGCACTACGTGTGTGTGTGTGTGTGTGTGTGTAATACAAGGGGAAACCAGGGATCACCAAGCTTTATCTGGACCTTCCACCACAAAGGATATCATGCCATTGGTTGACCACAGTGAGCTCCATCAGGACGATGAAGGACGAAGCGAAGTTGTTGAAGTTGTTCTTGCAGTATTTCCCTCTTGCAAAGAGAGAATCCTTGAGAGCTGCATTCCCACATTCCAGGGCATGAGGAGCATTTGAGTTTGCAGGGAAGAACTGGATTTTCCCATGGAATAACTCCATGCCAATGATGGCAAATACACAGTACACAACCTGGAAGAGAAACCCCATTGCCTGCTTCTCCAGTGAGCAGCAGGCTGGAGTCCAGAGTAACAGCAGGTTTCCCAGTTCTTATAGACATGGCAAGCTGCTGAGGAGCAGCAGAGCCCAAGAGACCCAAGCCACTCATGAGCAATTACCAAGCAGGAATAGTAAGCCAAGAACTACAGCCCAAATACCTAGAAATGAACTACTCTCAGATCATAACAGAATCTGTATTTAAGAAGTTGAGAAATGGGTTTCTCTTTCAGCTTCTTGCCCAAACCATAGTTTGTTTCCTTAGTGTAAAGCTCAGACTGCACAGAACATCTTCACTGCCCCACGGAGCAAAGGAAGATGTCCTGACCTGGCAGGAACCCAACCCCTTTGCACACATTTACTTGTGCAATAACCAAGAACCAAATGGACACTTACAGTTTCAAGGGCCCAGCATCCAGAGGTTTGCATTTATCCTCTTGGAAGCAG